ATATATATATATATATATATATATATAAATATTCACCTTACTACTGCTGATACTGCCCCAACATCTCTTCACTTCATAAACTAACATCTCAAACTGGACTACAGCTAGCAAACATGCTAACAGATTTGATTGGACTACAACTAGCAAACATGCTAACAGATTTGATTGGACTACAGCTAGCAAACATGCTAACAGATTTGATTGGACTACAGCTAGCAAACATGCTAACAGATCTGACTGGACTACAGCTACACCTGTTAGCATGTTAGTTTGATTCAACGTTAGCTCTCAGTGATGTCAAAGATGAATGGACCAATCGGATGTCACTGATTGGTTCTAGTGTTGGTACAATGATTAAAACTTCTCGCTGCAGGCACACTTCCTGCTCATCGGTACGACTGTAAATTGTGTCCTGACGGAACAAACTGATGAGAACATTCAGATTAAAATGATTGGGAAACCTGTTGGGACTCCTGGTGCAACTGTTTAAATGGTCCCCCTTTGTGCTGTTAAACAGAACTAAGGGAATGATTAGGGCCATGTGACCAACGGAGGCAGCCAAAGATATCAGGCTAGTTGAACTGTAGAGCCAACAAAAGTCTGTTCCACCAGGGTCCAGTAGAGTCTACAAAGAGATCCTTCTGGATCTGTCTGGAAAGGGAATGTTCTGGATTTGTCTGTAGAGAGAACGTTCTGGTTCTGGATCGGTGTGGAAAGGGAACGTTCTGGATCTGGATCCGTCCAAAAAGAATGTTCTGGATCCGTCTGGAAAGGGAACCTTCTGGATCCGTCTGTAAAGAGAACCTTCTAGTTTTGAAACGTCAAGAGTCACGTTTACACTTAATATTCAACATAAAACCAGAACAGTTCGACGGTTGAGAACCGAACAGGACCAGACCTTTCGAACCACTTCTGAGGGTTCAGAACCAGACCAAGAGAACCAGATGTATAAACTGTCATCAAAGTTCTGGTTTATGATGATTTGAATTATGATTTAGTGACATCAAACTCCTCTTCCTCATCTTCCTCCTCCTCCCTCTTCCTCCTCCTCCTCCTCCTCTTCCTCCCCTTCGTCCTCCTCTTCCTCTCAGACTGAAGCATTTCAAACTGACCCGTCTGTATTTATGATCAGTTAGTTTTTGGTACTAAGATGTCAGCTGACCTCGTGTGAGTGTGTATATTTATTATTATTATTAATATGATGATGGTTGTTGTTGTTGTTGTTGTTGTTGTTGTTGTTGTTGTTGCAGGAGTACTTCACCCCAAAATCAGTTTCCTGGAGTTCTTAAAGAAAACTTTTCTTCACGTCGTTAAGATGTAAAATTACAGAACTGAATTCAGTTACAGGAGAAAAAGATGAACGTTCAGTTTAACAAACACTAAATACTTCTGTTTACATATTTTAACTAATACAAAGATTACTGACGACATTTTAAAGGTAATTAGTTCTTCAGTGTTAAAGTAAACCTCGGAGACATTTATTTAGGTTTCCTCATGTTCTGATTGGAGGCGTGAGAGGAAAACAAAGAACTCAATATATACACATATATATATATATATATATATATGTGTGTGTGTGTGTGTGTGTGTGTGTATGTATGTATGTATATGTATATATATATGTATATATATATGTATGTATATGTATGTATATGTATATATATGTATATATATGTATATGTATGTATATGTATATATATATATATATATATATATATATATACATATATGTGTGTGTGTGTATATATATTATTTAGCTGTGAAGTACTACCTTTCATTTGTTGTGTGGAGCTGTTTTTTCTGCATGATTCAAGTCGTTTGGTGTTTTTCTTTGTAAAGTTAAAGCTGTTTAACTTCACTAAAGATTAAAGATTAAAGGTTCACATTTCATCTGTGTTTTATTTTAATAAAAACATAAAGATAGAATCTCTCTACACACTAGTACACATTAAATACTTGGTCCGTATCTACCAGACATAGTAATACAATACTTTAAATATTCATGTAACAATACTTCAATCTAAGCAAACCAGTTTTACTCACAATTTAGAGGTACTTTATACTTCTCACAGCAAATATTGTACTTTTTACTGCACTACATGTATTTAACTGTAGTTACTTTATAGATTCAGAGTATTATTCAACAACTGATGTATTATTATTAAAGGTTAAACTAGCAGCAGTACATAAAGTCATTATGTACTGATGTCATTGAATACATCAATAATTATTATACTATAATATTTTAAAGATTATGCAGAATGAGTACTTTTACTTTCATTACTTGAAGTATATTTTGATAATATTTACTGAAGTCAAGTTTTGGATGATTTACTTTAACTAACCACTTACTGTGGTACTAGTACTTTTACTTACTGTGGTACTAGTACTTTTACGAACTGTGGTACTAGTACTTTTACTGAAGTAAACTGTATGTGAGTAGTACTTCTGGTACTAGCTTTATTACTGCGATACATTCATTAGTTTCCTGACGTTAGCAAACAAGCCCACGCGCCTCTTTAAGTCATTCCGTGTAAACTGTTTGGTTTGTTGTTGTTAATAAAGTTTGTTTGAGTTGCTATGATACGCCTCTTTAAGTCATTCCGTGTAAACTGTTTGGTTTGTTGTTGTTAATAAAGCTTGTTTGAGTTGCTATGATACAGCTAACTCTGTCTCGTTGCTAGGACACAGCAAACCGCGCCACCGGTGCTCCGTGAGTTTGAGTCCGTCATTCAGTCGATGTTTTGTCCGGTATTTAGTCGATGTTTTGTCTGGTATTTAGTCGGTAGTTTGTCCGTCTAGTCAGTGTTTTGTCCGGTATTTCGTCGGTAGTTTGTCCATTATTTAGTCGGTGTTCTCCAACATTTAGTCGGTGTTCATGGAGATCGTCCACGTGTACACGAAGCTCCGCAGTAGGTTCGGCCGTCAGAGTCTCTTCTCTGACCGGCCTGCCGAGCTGCTGGTGGACGTTCATACGGACCAGAGTCTGGGTCAGCAGTTCATCCAGAAAACCCAACGAGACCAGGACCTGCAGGCCTGTCGGGACATGTCGGAGCACCAGGTGAGATCCAACAGGTTCTGAACCTGGTCTGATCAAGGCCCCCTATATATGAGGATGTGGACTCAGGTGTTTCCGTGTCTTCATGTGGACTCGGGTGTTTTCGTGTCTTCATGTGGACTCGGGTGTTTCCGTGTCTCCATGTGGACTCGGGTGTTTCGGTGTCTTCATGTGGACTCAGTTGTTTTCGTGTCTCCTTGTGGACTCTGGTGTTTCCTTGTCTTCATGTGGACTCAGGTGTTTCAGTGTCTTCATGTGGACTCAGGTGTTTCCGTGTCTCTATGTGGACTCAGGTGTTTCTGTGTCTGCAGGTGACCACAAAGCGGTTTCAGTCCGACAGCTGTGGACTAAACCATGAGGAGGGGGGGTGGCCCAAAGACGTGAACCCTCAGGAGATGGAGCAGACCA